GACTTTTTATATTTGCTTTAGCTATTCAAAAAACTTTTGACTTTTCAAAGTTCGAAATACATAAATCGAGTTATTTCCAGAATATTAATTATAAAAATAGAAAATAATGTAGATGTAAAAATATCAATGCGGAAAATATTTCATTTCTCGTCGAGTAAACATTTAATCTGGTCTCGTTTCATTGTTAATTATTCTCCGCAACATTGAAATTTCTTGAATCATGGATGGAATATCGATGTCAATCTATGTTATCATGCTCATAATTCAATATTACAGAAATTTATTATATTTATACAATTCGATATTACAATTATAATAATTATTTACAATACAATATATAATTATCAATGCTGTTCAAAATATAATAAAAATGATAATATAAGAACATAATTAACAAATTTTTGTAATGCGGGATTATACGAAAACATCGAAAATACATACGATAACAATGAAGTATATCGATAAATGCAGAAGAAATACTAATAACAATTAGATCGTATTTATTTAATTACTTGCTATTAATTAAGTATCTACCAATAATTTGCGAATATAAGATTTAATAATATCGCGACAAAAAGTCATTGATATAATTATAAGAGCACTTTCATCGCGTTCAAGATAACTATCTCAATAATTTCATATCAAAATCCCTCTGCCTCGTGGTGATTAGTATCACAAAGAAGAACAATCTTCATAGTGGAAAACGAACTTAATGTATTCTGATTCAACATAAATTTTACAAGATCCATTTGCAAAAAAAAATTAAGCAATCCGTCAAATAGTGATCTTGTTACAGGATTGCGATGTGAATTTCAAATCTTTCAGACTACTTAGTGACAGTAATAATTTTAGCATGTTAATTGCAATTACAATCATTTTTATCTTTAATATAATATTAAAATTCGAGAAAATATGTTTCTGCCACACGTGATTAAAAATCATCCCTCATTAAAAATAAAAGGCTAGAATGATTTCCTTAAACAATAGTAATTACAAAGGAATATATTTAATAATAATAAAATACATGCGTTATTGTAATGCGTTATTGTAATTTTTTGTATGTATGGATACAAAAGTTTCTCGAGTATCAACTGTTCGAGATGAGCCGAACACGATAATAATGGGATTTTAAAGAATATTTATATTATATTATATTGAAAAATTTATTATTATATAAAATTTAATAATTTTTTATTTTTCAAAAATTACAATTACTAATATCCCACTAATATGAGAGCATCCATTCGATCTTGAATTTTTTGTAACCACACATTTAAAATTCAACTCATTTTTGAAAAAAGTTATGTAAATATCGATAAAAATCGATTTAAAATATTCAATAACCTCATAATATCTCTGCATGTATTTCATAAAGAAATGTATATACATCTAAATTAATAATTAAAAATATTCTACAATGGCGGGATGTCCAATACCTAAAAATGATTGTAAAATAACAGTTAGAAAATTAAATATATACATTCGTAACCATATTTTTGTTAGAGCAGTCGAAAAATTATAAGCAAATTATTTGTATAAAACTTAAATTTGTTTACTTAATAATTTGAATTTAAACAAATTATAATTATATATCCATATCAATTATATAATGCTAAATTTCTATTGTTATTAATAGTGTTAGTAATAGTACACTGTATTAATTTGTTATTAATACAGTGTACTATTACTAACATTATTACTAGGGAGAACATTTAATAAAACAAATAAAGCGAAAATTATAAAATGCTAAAATATATCACTGAATTAATATTACAATTTGACTTTAAAATGTATAGCAGTTATTATTGACTCATTAACGAAATTGTTACTACCAATAAACTGCAAACGAGAAAACCCGAGATTAATTCCTGCATAAGAATCTCCGAAAAGATACCAAACTAGACTTCGCGAATGAACTTCACGAAAAGCGAGGAATAATTCTCCATGATGGAAACAATTTCGACTTTCCATCGGTACAAACCACGTGATCACTGGCATCCATCTGGCGCGAGAGACAGCGATATGAGGTCTTTGCATATAACAAATTGTTCACTAAAATATACTTGTAATTTTATAATGTTAAAAATGTAAATGTCGAAAAGCAAGAGTTAATATTTTAACTATTGCCAGTCAAAGCTCCAATCTTATTTAATAAATGTGTACTAAATATGAAGAAAAAATGACGATTAATCTAAACATCATTTTTAATATGAAGTTATTTAAAATTATTAATGACTTATTGATATACAAAATAAAATCTAAATAAAAAAAAAAGTTTTGTTAAAGTTTGAATTTAAATATTTATCAAACTTATTAAATCAATAAACAATTGTTGCTATTATATATTTCATCGATTTCGTATAATTTACATCAATTACGCAACAATGTGATTTACTACGACAAGATAAATACTATTTGTATTGAATAGATATTCAATACGGATATATATATTCCAGTAAATGTATAATTAATTAGTAATCCAAGAAAAAATGTTTTATATTTTTTAATTATATATAATTATATAAAATTACA